CGTGAATATGTTACGCTAAGTGCGTATGAGTGTTACTGGCAGGATAATGTGCCACGTTTTGTTCCCAGAGTAAAATGTGCCGTTCCCATAGCATAAAGACAAATAGCCTTATGATTTATCGGCGCACAAGAACGTGGACGCAAATAAATATTCAAACTCATGTTGCAGCGTGGCCTGAACCACATAGTAACTCTAAACCACGGTAGGTAAAGATAGCCTCTTTAAAGAAATAGGTGCGTCTTTTAAGATCACATTGCCCCCCTAAGCATACCGCCTACGATTAACAATGCTCCCAGCACGTCATCGAGCACGACCTTCGACGATGACATCTCCAGAAATTCCGGCAGCTTTTCCGTCACTCGAGTCTCGAGCCCAAGTAGCCGATCACGCCTTCGTGAGACATCCCGGAACCATCTCCTGACGATTCACCACGATACCGCGGCCGTCGGACTCTCCGCAGACCAGAAACGGCTGCTGGACGGATGATCGAGTGGCCAGATAACGCCAACACCAGCTCGACAGACAGGGTTTACCGAGAATCACACGGTGGCACGCTACGGTGATCGGCGGACTTACCATGAAGACGTGCTCCGAGTGGCGGCTGCGCCGGAACCGGGCCCGGCTGGCAGGGTGTCCGGGGCTGTCGGGACCGAGCTGGCGGTGGCCGGAGCTGCTGAAGCTCAGCCGGCGGCCCCCGGAGCTGGCACAGCTCCCACTCCATTCCAGTGAGTGGTAGGTCGGTGTCGATCGGTCCAGATCCCAGTCCGGCCGCGCGATCTGTGGCAATAAGGCCGACATTTCAGTCATTAGTGAAGGCTCTACAACTCATGTTGTGCTGTGAAGTTATCTTTGTTGAATGGTACTTTCTTACGCAATGCCTACTTCAGTGAATGCGTGAACCGGTCAAGTGCTAAAAAAGGTAACAAAGGGCGTAAAATTTACAGAATTCAAGGCCTTGGCCATAAGAGCATCTCTGTCATAACTGCGTCATTTCGCACTGGTAAAAACGGCAGCAGCCTTGGTCGGCTCGCCTTTCAAACGCTCCGGCCTGCCGGAACGGGGCACACTCCGTGCCGCTAGCTCGGGAAAAACACGCCAGCCGCCCAGACAATGTCCGGCCGTCCCGCTCCGCCCCACCTGTTCCCCTCCCCCTTCTCTCAGCGACAGAGCTGAACGAATCCATAACTGCGCAGTGGCGAATTGGTATGACGACTTGGGGGAGGGGGGGGGGCGCAGCCTTCAGCTGATTCGCGCCTGGCGTAATCTATCAGAGTGTAGAGACGGACGTTTCCGTGAATTTAGTAGGTATACTGCTCTCGATAACCAGTAAATAGCTGGAACCTGCCCATTCCCTTCTCACATTGTAGAGTACTGTTGCGGTTAGACTTTTTGTAATTCCGGAGTGGAATGGAGATTGTCGTAGTGGGAATTACTAAATGCGTAGAGAGGTGGAAATGGCTCCATCGACTAGCTAGTGAAGCACTAGCCGCAGTGGTAAAGTCACAACTCTCACCAGCCCCACTCCAGTTTCTGGTCTCTGTCGGGATTGTAATACCCTACTCCGCTGACTGACGGGGGTGAATGCTGACGAGACCGAGCAGTCGTGGCTGCGGGTGGGAAGGCCACCCCGTGGAGGCCCTGACTCCCTCTCCCGTCTGTCCGCCTGTCAGAGGCGCGGTCGGCCAGCGGAGGGACGCGCAGACGGCACAGCTAATGACGCGCGGGCGTCTCTTCCGGTTCCCAGCGGGGTCGTGACCGGACCCTGGCGATGAGCCGACTGGTAGCGTGGCCTTGGTCGCAGGGACATGCCCTCCACGGTTTGCGCGCAGGACCACAGACGTATCCGTAGGTGCCTGGGTGGTTCACAGAATCATAAAAGACCGATAAAAATCGGCCTGGGGGTGACACAGAAAGGGGTGGGTTTGGTTCCCCGAGTGGTGTTGGTTTGCAAAGAGCTCGGTGCACCCGTGCTGGCAACGATGATGTCAGTAGTGGTTTTAGTGTGCATAGTAACTGGGCCTATAAGGCCACGCGGGAAATGATCGCCATGACTCATAAATCACATTTTCGCTTTATGGCCGATGACGAGGAGCAGAGCTCAGCAACCCATCTGACTATTTCGCCTGATTCGACAGCCGTCCATTGAAAGCTGACAGAAGTCTCGTATTTTGGTTTGTCCCCTAGAAAAGTGCACACAGCACACATCACACCCCATCACTGATCACGGTGTGACTTTGCGTTTATCATTGGTTCCATGGGCCTTGAAACTTACATCACTCATCGCAAATTGGATTAGCGTTTCCTGCTGGCTACCTACCTGCCCCCGGAACGACGTTAAGATTTCACAGCCAATTTCGATAATCAGGCAGGCTCGAATCTCACCGTGTGGCACGCTAGCTTATTCAAATCGGGCCCATCAACAAAGCTGACAACGTGTGACCGAACTCCCTGCTGTGTGCCGAGGCTGAGGTATTCTCTACACGGCGCAGCTCTAACGGTTTTCGGTGGGCTGTTATTGAGGGTGCTCGCACACCTAACAGCGGGATGCATCGGCTGGTGGATAACAAACAACGGGTGTGCTGGTAAACGAAGGAACGCACGCGTTCATTGGAATACTCGAACAAATATGGATAGGTTTGTGATGAACAAATTAAAGTAGGTACCTATTTTAAAGGCAGGTGCGCCATAAGAATGCTATGTAGATATCGGAAAATGAACTTATCAAATACCTACTCCTTTATGTATGTCTGTGCCTACTGCCTATATCTGTCGAGCTAGTTTTGTGCCTTCTAAGAAACAAACGCACAGTGGCAAAGGCACAATGACACTTGTTCTTTAGAACGTCATCTGTGGCATGGCCACCTGATAATCTCAACACTGCACTGGTGAGGGCTATCTAACTCAGAGACAACAATCATACTGTATTATTGGTCTAATATTTTGCGTTTAGACCACGGTCGCACTCCTCACCATGTGACGGACATGACCGTTATGGCGCAGTGAAGCCACGCCGAGCTGTTGTTCGTTCCACCAGCTGCAGTTCCCAGCTACCTCTACGCCCACGACAAGTCAGGACTGACGGAGTTTAGGTCTCACGACAACGTCTGTAAGCATTCGCCTCCATCCTCACGAACTGAGCATGACAAATGTATGTATAATGTAGATGTGACCCGACGACACACCATTGTGTAAGAATATATAGCTGTTAATTTACGTCAGAACTTGAATAGTTTGTAAGCATGACATAACTGCATTGTTTCCAAAGACACATCGCCATGAGCAAAGTAAAGACGTAGCTAACTGAATTTCGCACGCCTATGATTGATCATATGACATTTAACGTTGACAACGACCGTTTCTCCGTTTGTCTGTGCCAAGGTCGAGGGTAGCGGGCTGGCGTGACTCGGCGTCTCAGCGGCAGCAGGCACGTCTCTGCGCGGTGCCACCGGGAATTTCAGGTTCCGGTGACACGTAATTGCTCTCGTTGGGCGCCGCTTGCAACAGTGTATCCACTACTCGCGGGGCGTGCATTTTGCAACATTATTAATTTGACATAATGATGGCCGTCGCAGTGCGGGCGGCACGTGAGGCCGGCACAGACACAGCGGCCGCACACGTAACACGGGGGCGGCGGAGGGCGGGGCGGCGGGCATTGTTTCATTATTCACGAAACGCCTTACAGGGGGAGCTGAGATAAGGCCAAGCTCAAAGACAGGCGCTGCAGCAGTTCTAGGTATGGTTCATGTATAAGAGCACCATGCCAAGTTCTAGGAAGATAATTTCTGCTAGGCACTTTGCCTTCAATATAATTAGTATTTACGTGAGTTAATGATGACGACACGTCAACACACGGTCAGCAGCTGGTAGGCCTAGAAGCCGGAATAACATCGACCAAGGTCACGTGGACCTGGGAGAAGGAGGCTGATACTCAACAATTAATGAACCTTGGCCAGACGGCAGACAACACGCCAAGCAGTGTCTCCAGATCAGTGGTCCTGCCTGCTTTAAAATGTCAGCAACGACAACAAAACCCATTTATCATATTTGGGAGTTGTGTTGTGAAATCGAGGCGTGATTTTTACCGTCGGTGAATCACAAACACCCATGCCGGAGATCGAAAGTTCCAAATTCGGTCATGTTCCGATGAACATTAAAGTATGATTGCGCGCTCACGATCTCAATTACAGGTCGACCGAACCCAGCAGTCTATTGCAGCGATCCAATAGTCATTCCGTTAGATATGCATCGATTCCCGAAAACACGCCATAAGGAGAACGTTCAGCTTGATGACGTTTATTACCGTCTCAAATTAACATTTTCGAGAACTCTTATACCAGCTGGTTTGAAACAATACCTAGAGTTGGTAGGCCAAGGGAAGAAAAGTTTTGAGAGGAAAAAATGGTGAGTTTTAAGTGATTGATTTTCAAGCTGAGTTTTTTTATTCTTCAAATTAGGAATCTTTTGAAGATATCGCTGTATGTCCTCTGCCGGTGAGAGAGTGAGTGAGCGAATGAGTGAGTGAGTGAGTGAGTTAGCACAGTGGTGGTCAGATACTGGCAGCCTCAGTCGAAATTCGTACCAAGTAGACGTGTTCCCGTCATTATAACTGTTGTAACGAGCAGCTGTCGACAGCAACGATTCGCACACTATGAGCCGAGTCGTAAAATTGATGGCCGGCGGTGATCATCGGGTGTTTTTTACGCCGATCTTCGACTCCGGTCAGGGCGTCTTTAAAGACGCGCTGCTGGTTGTCGTCCGCTCGCTGTTAGTAGGTATTAGCCATAGAATTATCTGTTTATAACCTTTTTTCACGACAACTAAAATAAGTACCTATATATTCAATCAAACTTTTTAACTTCTTAAAAAACAAATACCGGTTCGAAAGCATCATTTGTCAAAAAAGTACCTCCAAATAGATAACGTTTGGTTCTCCCGCCTGTGACGAGTGTTTGTCCCGCCGACTTTTCTCACAAAGGAAACGCTCGCCCATCTGCCGCCAGACGTATGTACTACAAAGCCTAGTCAGAGTTCAGCACGCGGTAACGGCCGCTCTGAGCTCCACCCGCGACCTCGTGGTGACCCGGCGGCCGCTGCAGCAGCCCGCGCCGCTGCAGAATGAGGACAGCCGAGGACCTCGCCGCAGGAGCCGAGGTACAGTTGGAGATGAATGTTACCAGCACTATCCCGGGCGTGGATCCTACGCGGCTCCGGCGCCTCTCACCATCGCTCTCCGCAGCGTGTGACACGCTCTCACCCCACCGCTCTCAATAGCATGACCCCCACTCAGAGCACCGCTGAGTGGCGAATGTCGACATTGGATGACAATACTGTCCAGAAACCTCCGAGCAAAACTCAGATCAGGAGGACCGAGAGATGATCTCTTCAATGGTCGAAGCACCGCGATTTCGATATGGGGTCTCACGTCTGACGAGAATCGTGCGAACAAGCCTTCACAAGCTGGTTGGGTAAGGCCGGAGTGGAATGTAAACGCCTCTCTGAGGAGATAAATCGTCATTGACCGACCAGCCAGCCGAATGTTGGTCGTTCCGCTCGCTATATCGCAGTTTCTACGGCGGGAGTCGGAGTTTAAGCGTCATCCAACAGCTAAATATGATGACGTCAACTGACAGGCTCGGCTGTGGATGGATTTATGACAGCGGTTGCGCAATCACGTCGAAATCAAAGTATTGCGTGTGCTAATTGAAGTGGGTTTGTGCAATATGGCATGAATCGAATTAAAGATACATATAAATGCCCATCTTTTAGGTTATTTATTTATAACAATGACGCATAATGAGACAAAGATTAACTCCCATATTATTCCTCGTGCGCTAGCAGCTATGGTGGGTAGAACTCAACGCAGTCACCCCGTCAGCTGCGTGTACTCACTGGACTGAGGCGCTCCTCGCTGCCGGGTACTGCCCGCGGCACCAGGTGACCGGACGGGCCGGCCGCCCCACCGTCCCTCCACGCCATGGCCCGGGGCGCGGCCGCGGCCCGCTCCCCTTCCCCGCACCGTCACCGGGCTCTGACACGACGGCTCCGACCGCGCCGGTATCGTCACCGCGACTCGCTGCCGCGCCACCCTCGGCACGCAGATCGACGGCAGGACGACAGGTGGTGGAGGAGCACGGTATAGAGGCCCGTGGCGGCCCCGGCGGCCACCGCAGCGGCGCACTCGCAGTCGCACGCTCTCCACACGGGCCCGACACATGGCACCGGTGCAGGCGACGGAAAAGGGTCCGAGAATGGCGCTAGTTGGGCTACAAATTTACAGAACCGTAGCTTAGCGTTGACCGTCGACAGAACGTCGACGGTCAACGCTAAGCTTCGGCGCCACCAGGTCCGACTCGAATGAAGTTTGGGTTCATCTACCAGCCCGTAACCGAACTCAAGCTCGGTTGACGTTAGTGCCTTAGGCTTAACGTAAGGTGGGTACGCTAGAGCGGTGGTGGGTTCGGCATGAGACTATCTTGATGTACCGCATAATAAATGGATGTGTGAACTGCCCGCAAATGTGCTCATCACGTGCTGGGAAACGGGCCACCGTGCCACGCAGATATTGCAACACTGGCCTTGATATAAGGCATGACAACGGTGCAGAATCATCGCTTGAGGCTCTGATAATATCAGAGCCTACAGCGATGACGATATCATTAGCACAGTAGGTTATATATGCCTATGCAACGCACCTACTAATGGCAAATTTCTTGTGAAATTTAGGTGAAACTTCATCTACTCCGTTCTGGAGCTACGGTGAAAATCCGCCTCCAGTTTCCTTTTCACTTTATTTCTACTCCACCCACTTCACCAAGCAATAAAATAACAAAAAAAAAAGACTGATCGTTCCGTCAGACCAGCGTTCGATTTCAAGCAACCACTTGTTTTATGCGTGTCTGGAGGAAGCAGCATTATACATCGGTGATTCTCTCGCACGAGCCCAAAACATTGCGACACTGGCCGTGTGACAGAGTCATCTCTGCGCTTCACCTGTCGTGTATCTCGGCGGTAGCAGCGGCTGCCGACCACAAGCAGCTGGCGCCCCGCCGAGCTCCCGTCATAAACTCGACCGAGCGGCGGCCGCATCACCCGTATCGGCCACTGGATTCAGACATCAGTGGTGTCGGGCGCGCCGTGTTGGTGGTGGGAGCCCGTCGGCCTTCACCCCCTACGGTACGGAGCGGCGCGGAGCAGAGACGGGAGCGGCTGAGGGACCACAGACGGTCTGTCGGCCAACTCAATTACGGCCGGCCTCGCGTGCTGGCCGCGCCGCGACCCGTGCACGACCGCGCCACGGGACAGAGCCGGCGCCCCCGGCCGCACGTAATGCCTGTTTGGGACGCGAATGCGACACTCGCGCGACATGTAAAAACAGACGGGTAAAACGTCCCGAATTGGTTGCCGTTGCGCAACGGCTGCGCTTTCCACTGGGAGAGGGTAGCCGACGCGACGCTCGACGCTGGCGGTCGGCATTTGTGGGCCGTCACCCCTGCCACGGTTCACTGCGCCCGAGGAGAGGCGGTCCCGGCGAGTCCCATCACTGCACGGTCCCCTGATGAGCCCGCTGCACCCGGGCCGGCCGGGACGCACATTCACCTCATGAGACGGGACTTCAGGAAAGAACTGTGACGTCGCCGAAAATCACTGCGTCGCATGAAGACTAAAAAATGTCACACCTGGAGATTATTTTATTTCAACAGAAGTATTGCTTACGTGCTACGACGGACTTGATATGTTGCACCTTTTTTGAGAAAGGGCACCTTGACGCCCATGGATACAAGAAGCACTCGCTCGCAACAAAAGTCGCAATAAACAAGACTGAAGATGGCCTTTTCGGATCCTGATAGCGGGTCCAGCGAGCAGTGGTAAATCAATGGGAAGCCATTAAGATTAAAAGACAAATCTTTTCTACGAGACACATGCTTTATCGGTCTTCTATCGGCATTGTTTCCATCATCAACAACATGACAGTAGGACGGTGAACTTGTGACCGGTCAAAGGCGTAGGCCGTGCTCCATTCTTGATTGGTCTTTTGTTCCTTAGCTCTTACCACGAACAGACGAGTGTTGGTGTGAAATAATTCACTATGACGAACAATAGGGATGATAACACCGGCGACCACACGATAAACAGAGTATTAATTTGTCTAGATATGGCCGTCAGGGTGACGAAAAGGTCGTCACAAAAATTTGATGGTTATATCGGGGGTTGGAAAGCATTGTAAAAGCTACCGTGACGGTAGTTGAAATATCACGAATAAATCCTAACGTAAGCTAATGACACTGACCTTCCATAAAGACAAGACTCCTGTTTGAAATGAATGAATTTTAATCGGAATGGACCCGCAGAGCTGGATCTGTCCGCAGATAGCATTTCTTCTGTCGGCACTGATTAAATCGCTCATGAAAGTAAACGCCGTAATGCATAATTACATGTGTATGTACATCAGACACGCTTTGCCCCTGGGAAGGTCATCACTTTACTCTAATTACGTGTAATAAGGCATATACTGCACCGTCTCTGCCCCCCGCCAGGAACAAAGCTCCCGACGCCGGGCATTTCGTAAACTCGACCACCGTTTTCCCAAACGGCATCTCTACCCAAACGACCAGACTCGTTCCATACCGTCCATCATCCAAAATTGGCGCAACTGGGGCGACGTGCGGCGCACGAGCCAAAAACGACGCGCCCATCACCGTGAGTCGACGCTTCCCGGGACGAAGTGTGCTCCGATGGCCAGATCAGATCTCCGATCAGGTCGCGCACATCTTACTTGGACTGCCTCGGGTGCTCGCCGGGCTCGTAAAACCGCTAATATGTCTGGTCGTGGACCAATCGGGTCGATAATGGGCATGTTCTCGCCAGCGGGAGTGATTTGCGGCACGCGGCGGCCGCCGGTCGCGCTGCCGGCTGTCCCAGCACAGTGAGGTAACGCTCCCAGGTGACCGCCCGCCGCTGTGACATTTCCATACGGAATTAATAAGCGCCTTGCACAACACTGGTTTGGTGGTCGCCGGTAATCAAGTTACCGTTAGGCGTGATTATTGACGTAATTACCTATAAGAAAAACGAAGGAAGCGAAATACCTCAAAATATGTCCTATTCATGCTGTTAAACGTTGTACGAGTATTATCTTATTGCACAATTCACATGTATGTTGCATCGCACAGCTATGAACATATAAGTTTGCATTCCTCACAAATTATAAAACTGTATATTCAAGACGAGCACGCCCACCACTGGCTTTTCCTTGGGCACCTAGTTATCACCCGTTTCGACAATCGGACTCGTACGCCCACTAACCATGGGCGCTCAATCACAATCACAATCCACAGACTGCCGCAGTGATTTCACATTCACTTGTTTCTATGGTCGCAGTTTCTACGATCTATTGTTTCGCAGCTACGAGCGTCTGGTCGCGGCCGTAACAAGCTCAGCGGTTCCTGGATGACGACACGGTCGCCTCGCCGTTCTCACAACCCGGGCTCGACATGTGCGCAAACGGTGAAGGCAGTTAGAGCCACGTCGTGTACGACATGGTTATTCTTTGTCCGGTGGAGATTCACACTATTCTCAACGGTCGCTTCAGCTCACACCGTTTTCAGAAGGGCACTTTGGGGCATTCCACGTCAAGTGAGACAAAAAATGACCATTTTGAACCTCACCTCCTCCGATTTTTGCGAAACTTTGTGAAACTACTCATCTATATGTGAAAAGAAAGGAGACATGTTTTTGTTAAGATATGACGTCACGTTTCCGAGATACACGTCATGAAACATTGACTTAGGCAAGGCACATTATCATCTTTAAAGCGTCATAACCATTGAAGTTTTAGACATATCACCATGAGACAAAGTGTGAAATGGAGGGAATAGATCAGGCTTTAATTTGAGGATAGCAATATTGACGTAATTATCTAATTAATGAACTTAATTAAAATTCAAAAAATAAATTTTGATTTTCTGAAAAATGGGTACCCTTCGATTTTGCTGATTTTTACATATTTTATTCTCCCATACATTAGCTACATCATATAAAAAAATCCAGAATGGGCCGACGTCTAAGTAACTGTCTTTTAGACTTCGTAATGTCTGGCACTCGCGTGTTTCGTTTTAGCAACCAAGGAGAGGCGCTACCCAGAGATGCTTCTTTCTACCCCAAACCAAAGCAAACCTAGCCTGACCTGACGTGGCCTGACCTAATCTAACACGCGTAAATATGTACAGCCCTCACGGCAGTTGCCGACTGGCCAAATGCTACTTAGATCGAACATTAGCCCTCACGACATTTGCCGGCTGGCCAGATGCTACTTAAAAAACGAATGCGTGTTACAACACTTGAGGTCTTGAGGCTAACCGGCCACGAGCCAGCCACCTTTAGATTGCGAGGTGGGTACACTCGGCACACTAACTACTATGCCACGAAGATAGGTAGCTGGTCATCGCGGAGATGTAAGCCAGTTTTTTTTAATGATGCAATTGGGCATTCTCCGGGCAGCGCCTCTCTTTGGTTGCAAAAAGGAAATACGCCTGTCTCTCCCAGCGCTAGGGGGCTTAGCCAAAAAAGGTATAAAAAACGGAATTTGAATTGTAGGCGGGGTGGGGTACTTTATCGTGTGCCAATTTCATGGCCCTTGATCAATATCTTCAAGATCAAATGAGGTTAATCGTGATGAAATTTGCTATAGTGACTATTTTGCGCTTATACGCCCATAGCTCTAAGAGTAACTGGCCGATTTTCCTATTTCTTCCTTTATACGACA